AGAATAATTAGGGGTGGGAAGCGGGTGCTTGATAGAGGGGGAGTGGGGGGGGGGGGGCTTATTAACTTTCTTCCCCTGAAAAGGGGGGGGGGGCTGATTAGAGGGAGGGGGCTTATTTGACAAGGGGCTTTGATATAGGTTTACGGTATATTTTACTATTATTGCGGAGGTAAAGAAAATCATTCGTAAGTTCTTTTGTCGCGGTTCCACTGTATAAGGGCCTACCCCTATATAGTCTCTTGACGAAAAAATATTTTTTTAATGTTACGTTTTTAATGTTAAGTCAACGAAACTAAGGACTTTGATTATTTACATGTTTCGCTTTTATAGCTACAGAAGGTGCCGCGTGAGGTTCTTTTTCGGAATGGCATCTGTCCCCGCGGTATAACCTGGGTCTCAAAGTTGTTTGTCACGCAATCTCGTCTCGCTAAAGGCAGTAAAGGAAGGATTCGGGTCTGTTGTCAAATAATGTGAGGTAGGTCAAAATGTTTTCCTTTTTTATAGCTATAACGATTTGGTTCATGAGAATTGAGAGCATTTGAAAGAATAGCTACCGACACTATTAGCCGTTTTGTACATATATGTACCGAACGGCAAAAGTAAACAAATACGCACGTAAGGGAAATGTTGTAGTCAAGAAGTTCATAGCACACTTTCGCAGAATAAAATTGCTTTTCCTTTTGAAAATTTACCACTGTGAAATCGAAAATCGTTTTTGGTGTTTAAACTGGCGGAAAAGGGTCGAATTTGCGCCAGAGTTTCAAGTGCTGTCTAAGTTCTCGCTTGTATTCATCAACACAACTGCAAGTTCAGAGGTCGTAAATCACGCGAGTACCGTAAATGTTTTCAGTTGTAAAAACTCGCAGTTTCAATTGCCCCAGAATTTTATTTCACAGATTGATAGGGGAAGCATTGCTCTTTCTCTGGAATACCATTTTTCGAATGAAAGCCATGTACCAAGAAGGGATTTTCGCTGTTGAAAAATGGAAAAATTGATGGTGGCGATAATGCTGATTTAGAGGGTAATTTTGAAAAAATATTAAAAAATCAGATTGAAATCTTTTGAAATTGTAACAACGTTTAGGTAGAAAGGAAGGATCATAAAATTGTTAAATATAAGAAAAGTTATGGTATTAGTGTCCGTTTCCATTCACGAAGCGAGGGTATCAAGCACATTTTTCGGTGGTTTCAAGGCCTCTCGAAGGTGAAAATTAAAAAAACTATTATTGTGGAAAATATTAAGTCAAACGAACTGAGTCTTGTATTTTCTAAAATAGTTTCCAAAGGGCTTTGTTGTGATAAAGTTTGGGGGATTTCGATTTTTCCATCTTGCACACCTATCCGTGGTATTTACAGAACGTCGCTCTTAAGGCAAATACGAGTAAACCACATGCAAAAGTGTTCTTTTGGTATCCTGGAAAAACAAGAGCAAATACCACTGCAAATTAGTGGTTTTGCAATATTTTTGCCTGCATTTGAAGTAAAGTGAAAACTGTCATTTTTGCCAAGGATGTAAATTTGAGTAAACTGGTAGAAATGTTGAAGATTTGCCCATGCTGCAAATATGTATCAAATTTGTATCAAACCATTACATTTACTTCACTTTTGCGTATCAATACGTATCTAGCAAATATATGTATTTGCCCACACTTTAGCCGACAGCGCAAATGTAATGCAAATTTGGAGCTCCAAATTTACCACATATTTGCACCTTTCGCAAACATTAGTAAATCCGTTTTTTCGTCCAGTGCAACTAGTTGGTAAAAAATATCGAGACAAAACAACTTTAGCGAGCAAAACGCGATTCAGCCACCATTGTTTTGGTTTAGTGGGCTATAACATGTAGCCTAGTAGTAGCTCAACCAATCAGAACGCAGCATTGATAATAGACCACTAGTTGAATTTTACTGAAAACTCAGTAGTACACGCCGAACCGTTTAGAACCATTTGTTAATTACTCCACAGTTCTCCCGCTCACCCTACAACTGTTCTCACCTGTAAAAAGTATATTTGCCTGAAATATGATGCTTATTACTTTAAAGTACCTGCTTGCACCACCTAGCCTTCCATTAGGAACCACTAGTTAATTAACAGTCCATAATTCTTCATACCATACGAAAGCCGAATTCAATAATTGTTTTATTATTCATTCAAAATAATTCCTAGTTAAAAAACATAGCTAAAACATACTTGAGGATGCTAATGGTGGTACCATATTCTCCGTTAACTACTATTCTTCGGTCAAATATCAGTTAACTACTATTTTTTCGGCCAATTCTCAGTTAACTACTAATTTTGGTTAGCTATTAACTTTTACTTTCCCACAGCAAATATTATTCTGTCATAACCCGAATTTTCTTTACTTCAGCACGTCAATCACTTTTTGGGGTAGGCTCTACTTAAATCAAGGTACAACTTTACATGAATTCACATAAACTCCGCCACTAGTACAATTGATAAGTAACTGAAATGTGGAAAAGAACATAATTATCTAATCGATGATCCCTACTTAACGATTTTTGCCGTTAGTACAAATTAGATCCAAGTCCTATAACCATCAATATGACACCAGCCTCATAGATCCAGAAGCACCATCACTCTATTTCCAAAGTCTTGGGCGTAGTTCAGTTTTGTTTTCACAACCAAAACAACTCAACCTCGTCCCCAGGTCTTCTCGGTTAACGGTTCATTAACCTGTAGAAGGCTGCATTAGAAATGTTGAGGTTTTGTAATCTTTCCGTGCAAGTTATAGTTTAGTTCAGTCCAGGTGTGACTGAATCAATAAAGAATCGTCTAAAGTGTAAAATGACTTATTAGGGCCATTTATACGTGTAAAAATAAGACGCGTCTTAAATAAGACGCGAACTGTACCATTTATACAAGCATGTCTCATCTAATAAGACGCGTCTTAGCTAAGCCGCGTCTTATTTTAGACGAAATGTGCCGTTTATACGGAAAGTTCGCGTCTTATTTAAGACGCGTCTTATTTTTCCTCGTATAAATGGCCCTATTATGGATAAAGCAAGGTAGCCATCAAATTTATCATCTTCTTTTTCGAAATAGTGACAAAGAAGTGAATAACGATGGTTGGTTTCTCGCCAATGCGAAGACGAGTTGCTCGTAGCTGGAAAGACATAAAAACGCTGTATGCTGAATGCCGAATGCACGATAAAGCCTTCCAAATTTATCGATACGAAATAAAAATGCCATAGAACAAATTTAGCCAAAGAGTATTGCTAATTGATTGATAAGCCAGTGAGAACAGTTGTTAAAGATCGTATCCACAGTCCAAGCGTTTTGCGCCATTTATATATTGAAAGGATTATAAACGATTTTTTAGAGAGTGGCTTTCATTTTTCAGTTGATATCAACTGCCTTTTGAAAAACCTATCTACATCATGTTTTAAAGGCAGGCGGCAACCAATAAAGGCTTCCATCTACATTATCAACTTTTGTATGAGAAAGGTCTTTTTAATTAACGTAAAGAACAACAACAACAAACAAAACTTTACTCACATTAAAGCTAAATGTAATTGCCCTGCAAATTAGCAAAAAACTGCCCATTAGAAGCAGGGAAAAGTAAACGTATTGAAGATAATGAAAATGAGTCGTCTCAATGACACAGAAGCTGATCTGTAGAGTTATAGATATAATTTTATAATTAGGTCAGTGGGAGATTTCAGAAAAGGTAAGATCATAATATCCGTGGCAGATTTTGACTTAATAGGAAAACGATTAATAACTGGACTGTGAGAATCAAGCCTACGGTTTACAGCGGGCCCGGGGCTGAGACGAAATTTCTCATAGGAACATAAACAATACAATACATTTTATTAATTCTTCTAGTTGGGTTTTTTAGAATGAATTTACAGGACTTGTTAGGCTAAGTAGTTTATAATTACGAAATAACTAAAAAATTACATGTATAAAAGACAAACTTAACTTACAATTGAATTTGAATTTAAAAAGCTAATGAACAATTAATTAAAAAAAAAAAGACCAACAAACTACGGGTATTATTTTAAATCATGCTTACACCACGTAAGCGACGAAGCTCTTCAGTGGTGAGCCCACCAAGTTCATGTAAGACTGTAGTGGTGTAATGTGATCAAACGTTCTTGTGTTAGTAAGTATACGGCGGACCGATGGCAAAGTTTTGCATCAGTTGTAGTTTATACACATATAATTTCGTTGTTATTGTTATCCTTTTTCTTGTTTTTTAGGTAGAATTGTATATTCATTTAATTAATGTTTATTCTTAAGTAACATTGTAAAACTCGTCTTTAATTCAATAAAAAATTTAGCAAAAAAAAAAAAAAAAATCAGTTGTGGTTTATGGATGTTTTCTTTAGAAGTTCCAGACCATACGGTGGAGCAATCGAACAGTTTGCTAAATACTAATTAGGGAATGTGACATTATGTTCTGTGCATCTTTAGTTTCGCAGCCTATTTATTTAAACTAATGTTGACAAAGGAGAGGAGGTTAATAGTGAGGCGATATGGCCATTCAAGTGTGACGCCGAGGTCCCTGGGGGAAGTTACAGGTACTAGATCTTGACCAAGGAAAGTCTAGAAAAAATTTTCCCCAGGTACTGGTCCTTGCAAAAGATATTTCCTTCCCTCGAAATGAGTCTTCAGGATATATTTGCCGAAACCACCCATACCCCCCCCCCCCGCCTCCAAAGTCAAATGGTCAGCCCCTTATTGCACCCCACTGAGCCTTGGGAAAGCGTTTGGAGTAAGGTGGAACCCACAGTTCGCAAGAGGTGGAAAAGAAAGCCACGCGCGAGACTGGGAAGGAGGAAGGGGCTAGTAGTCATCCCACCATTTTCCACTAGCTGTTACTGAAGTACGTATTAAATTAAAGAGACTTGTCTCTCTATGTGAATTAATCGTAGTATTGGTGACTGTACCCCCATATGTTTGATATTGACGACAGGTAGTTGCGTTACTTCCGGGAGGCTGTATTCTGAATTCTGGGAATTCAACGAAAACTATAGGAAACTATAAAACATGTTCACCTTTTCAACTTCGATAAAACGTATAACCTAGCCTCAGTAGAAGCACTGCTGGTAGAGACAAAAGCTGAAGATAAGCTCGGTTTCAAATTGTCGATTGAGAAGCATGAGTTGGATCTTTCAAAGATGTCTGAAGCGTGCGAGAGCACAATTCCTGCCCTGAGGATGGACATTGCAGTTTTTGTAGTGCAAGCACACGAATCTCGGCTCTCAATCAACGAAGAAAACGCTGGGATAGGATTCGCGAAGTTCTACAAAGCTTTGCAGCACAAAACAGGTGAGCCTTTCAGCACCATTCGCTCTATTATGTAGGAAATATTTTTACAACTTACCACTGTCATGATAGGAGCAATAGTGGGGCTAATTTTCTTGTATGCCTTTTACTGCCCCAGTGTGACGATATTCGAAGGCGTAAACATCTCCAGGTGAAGGTCTATTGAGTTTTGTAGGGAATGATGTAGTTATGTCCGATATGTATCAATTAACGCGGATCTGTATACCTCCGTCGATTTCAGTCGATTTCGACTGGCGGTTTCGTGTTGTTATAATAGTATTCTGTATGACTGAATAACGCACATTCAGCATGCTCGCAAGTAGTAAAAATAGTAGAAGCTACCCACTAGTACTCTTCGATGCATATCAATCAGTTTGAATTCAAATTAATTTATGTTTGTCCTTAAGCTCATTATATTGCTATTTATAACTACAGGACAAACTGGTAATATAAGGGTTAAAACACACAAATCTTATTTAACAAACACAGGTAAAAGCTGGAGATAAAATTTGTAATAAACATATTAAATCAGTAAATGGTGATATTAATTTATTTTTATTATATATATTGTGCTTCAATTTTTTTCATCTTTGGTTTGAATTTTATTTTCCTTTGTTTCAAACTCATTATAATATATTACCATATTTATCCAAACACAAATTTCAAGCAAGGATAAAACTGAATCACAACATATATATTGCAGGCATAATAATGATAATAATGATGATAATAATAATAATAATAATAATAATAATAATAATAATAATAAAATTATAATAATGATAAATTTGCTTTCTTATTTATTATAGTGTCCCTGTGTCAGGCTCTTAATTGATATGCTATTTTGTGTATAAGTTATTATAAGAAAAGCATTTTCCGTTTTATCTGCTCTCACTTTCTCTACCTGTCTTGTTAGAAAGCCACTCATAACCTTTTGCCTTTGTTATCAGTCAAGCAGTCTTGAGAGGGGTGGGAAAAGTGGGGCCTGATCAGCAAGGCAAATCAAGCTTTGTTCACATACAGAAGCTGAGTATTATTTCCTTCCAGACATTTTTACAAGCAAATATGCGGGAAGCAAGGCTGACTGTTTACTAAGGGAATAAAATTTATCCTTTGTCCAATATTTCATCAGGCTAATGTGTTTGAGGAAGTATTGGAAAATGGTTAATGACCTCCTTGCTGTTTAGTAAGTTGTGCTCTAGCATGTATCTTCTCTACAAGAGGCCGCCCACCAGCACCCAGCATCTTTGAGTTATACATTGGTCTCTAAGTACACAGTTTTTTTTCTTACTTTATGCATCAAACACCGTTAACCTTTCTAAAATCAAGGGCCTTTGTAGGTTTTTACATGATTATTTAAGGGTGGGCCTGTGGAGTTTGTCTGCATTTTCTAATGAGTTTTTTTGTCTCCCTTTTGCCTGGGATTAATAGTCACGTGATGTTTATGAGTCACTGTGTAACGAGTCTTTTTGGGCAGTTACAATCATATTAAAAAACAAGTGTTCATTGGTTTACCCTTCGTTGTTTTGGTTGTTTACTATTTACATTAGCAAAATGGTTGGTTAACGGTTTGGGCAAATGGTAAGCAAATTTCAACACTAGTAAATTTCTTCCCGGAATCGCGTTTGCTATTTGTACAAATCAGTTGCATTTACCAAATCTGATAACTGCCACGAAGGGATGAAACTAGTATCACAGATGGCTTTGAAGAAGCAATTCGAGTTACATTTACTTTCCAACCGGATTTTCGGGGAACGTTTTGTAAATGGCAAACGAGCATTTTCTCCCTGATCCTCTGTATCAATGCCTGGTCTGTTGCTATCACGGCTTGAAAATTAAAGGAGCGGGGTATGGTTACTTAAAAAAAAACTATAGGAGTAACAAGTGATTACTATCGAGGGTTAAGAGAACGTTTATTCAATAGAGCCCTAATGCTGTCGATTTCTACAAGTTTCCCAACTAATTTTTGGAGGTACTATTATGTCTATCAGTACCGCTAATGATCTAATGGATGCCCGGGGCGTCTATTTAATTTTAAAAGCCCAAGCGGGGACGTGTAATAGATAGAGGGCGTTTGAAAGAGAGAGGCGTATATTTTCATACAGTAATGTTCAGTTAAATCCTCCAGTCGGTAATCATGTTACCATGGAGTTGCACTGGCTACTACACGGTCAACCAATGCAGCAAAACCACTCTCATCTTTGACTGCTTAATAGAGGCATTTACTGTTACCCCGTTCAATGACCAGGCTCCATAAAAAGGTTCCAAACCAATGGAAAGTATATCTACACTACAGTACAGTTAAATCCTCCAGTGAGTAATCATGTTAACATGGAATTGCATTGGCGACTACACGGTCAACCAGTGCAGTGAAACCACTTTTATCTTGCGTAGACCTCTTTGCCTGCTCAATAGAGACATTTAATAGTTTAGTGATATTTATCCAAGGGTTCCGTTGGTATGGACGCTTCGCATTCGCCAACAGCATCTTCTTTATCAGCAAAGTGTTTGGACAACGGCAGACATGCTGAACATGACCAATATGTTTTAAATATTGGCTCCTGATCACATTTCTGAGACTGCTTGTTTTTGCTATGTATGGAATGTCTGTTGCTGAGTATCGGAGTCTAATTCCGCGTCCGGCTCTGCCTTTTTAGGGGTTGAGAGTCTATGCCACATTAACTATTTGCCTCGACAACTCCATCCAACAGGTCTGCAGCTTCCTGTCATTTTCTTCAGTTATAAACCTATCACAAACTCCACACAACTAATATGTTTCGGCAAATATATCTCCACAGTGTATAAATAGTAGACTATCCCGACCATCCGTTCATACGTCTAGGCTATGGCAGATGTATGACGTTTTTTCAAAAATGACTTCGATGTCAGAGTCCTAACTTTGAACTTGATATCGAATAAGATGCAATGCGCAAAGTCTGAGTAATTAACGAAGAAACTGAATGAATTAAATGATTTTTCTCTATTTCCTATATGGAGCAATTGTCAAACGGGTGGTCTATTAGACAGGGGGCGTTTATCAGAGTGGGGCGTCTAATGCTAACTTCAAAAAGTGTAGGGGGCGTGTATCAAACAAGAGGCATTTAAATGAGAGAGGTCGTTTATTTGATCATTTTCGGTAATTTAATAGATCTTTCAATTGTTTTTGTCTTTGCAAGGGGACAATGTTATAATAGTTATCGGTGGAGATGACGAATACAAAGACAAACGTGAAAAAGACGAAGCTGTTCTGTCCCGCTGGGCTCGGAGGAAAGTATCCTCGCAATTCCAAGAAGAATATCTTGATGGACGAAAGAGTTTCATATTTTCATGGGACAAGAAGCACAGAAATATTCACGTGGAAGCATTGTTGCATTTCTTTGACTCAAATAAAAAGGGCAAAAAGTTTGAACCGCTGCCGAGACTAAAAATATCGACACAGTCTGATAGTCCTTCGTCAATTAAAGTGGAATCGATGGCTACAGAGGACGAGGTAATGATACGAACCTCGATTCAATTTTACTTTTTCAAGCAACATGAGTTTCTCAATTTAATGACTTTGTAAGTCTTGTTTCTGAAGTTGTAAGATAAAACTTGGCATTTTTTCTTGTATTTGTGTGTGAGGTGACATGCATCAGCAAATCCGAATGATGATAGGCCAATGATGATGGTTCATTACCGTCACAGAATTAGCGTTTTTGCTGGGCTCATAGTATCCAATATTACTCACTTTCTTGGCGGCATTACCTTGAAGATCCGAGACGAATTAAAACAATTTTCTCATGCCCCAAAAAGTTGAGCGAGTAGGAAAACAAGTGCAGGGAGGATTATTTTGTATTTAATCTCACCTCTGTCTCCTTGGTAACAAGTATTTTGTATTAGCGCTATTCAGCTGTCATTTACAGATCCCGAATTATGTAGTTAAAATTGTGTGTTTTGTGCGCATGCTAATTGTAATGGTAATGATCTTTTTCCTGGAGTTTTGATCTCCTAGAATTGTTTTTACTTTTTTATCGCAGGAACAGGTTGAAATCATCAACGAATTAGAAGAAAGATCTATTGAAAACCGGGCTTCGGAAGTAGAGGATAACAAGAAACAGGACAAAGTTAAGGAAAGTGAGACAGCTGTGCATGCGTCAGGGGGTAAGTATAGAGGGTTACATGGTGTCCTGTCGTAGGTCCGAAACTACAGAGAGACGCCTAAATTGCTCTGGGCTTGAACTGTCTCGGCGAGCTGTCCAATTAGGGACCTACACATTGAGTAGAGGGATGTCTTAGGGATCTATCTTCCACAAACCCTTCAAAGAAAAATTTGAAAACCTCCTTTTCTTATTTTGTCTTCTGAAGGGTCGCAATTGAATTACCCAGAAGGCACGGTGCTCCTAGACACTCGGCTTCGCTATGGGGAACTGTCGTATGACGTTGATGATCTGCAAAAAATGGAGGAGAACTGGTACCCACCTCAAGAAATACGCCAATCCCTTCAAAATCGGTTCAAGTCAACACCCGAAGCACAAGTGGAATTGGTAGTTCGTCAAAACAGGCTTATTCAGAACGTTAATATCTTGAAGTATCCTTTGTGGCAGTTTTGGAGATGGTAGTGCACATTATTTTGAGCGAAAATAGACAGTTGTGAACCTGGCCAGCTTTGCAATAATTAGCTAGGTACTTGCTGCATGAATCATGAGTGTTTTTCATACTTGGTCAGGTTACCTTCAACAAGTTGAAAATGTTATAAATGCTTTAATAAACCATGATTGGCTTCGTTTCGGGCGGTTTGGTGAAGAAAAAAGGATTACATTTAGTCGACAATTAACAGGGAAGCTAGAGGTTTTGGGGGGAGGATTGATTCCGAAAATAATTTGCATCGCCAAGATTATGAACAATAAAATTAGTCATTCACGGTCTTGGTCACGTGGCCTTGAGTAAAATCAAATGTATCCCGATCGTGATAAATTAAGCAATGTACCCCGCTCGGGCTACATTACAGCACGTGATCAAAGCATGGTGGAAAGTGGTGTGACAAAAGGCGGAAAAAACACTGCCAGTTTTTCTTTTTTTCGTGAATGAACACGACAACTTGATCACAAACACGAAGCCTTAAGCTAAAAAGCAATGACTTTTAAAGTCATCCCAGAAGAGAAACAGCAGCTAGTATAGTGGAGGGAAAAGATGCAGATAATATAAGGAAAATACTCATTCAGTGGTTTTAAGAATTAACTTTGTGTTGATATAAGTACCGAGTCGACTGTTTTGGTTCGCTCTGGTTATTCTTTTGTTGCTGTTGAAGTGAAAGTCGAGAAATATAACAAAACACTTAATGTCAGGTCCCTCGGGAAACCAGTTAGTTTTGTTTTCCCTCGAGAGCTTCCCGAGACGAAGTCGAGGGGAACATCAGGTTTCTCGGGAAAACAAAACTAACTGTTTCCCTCGGGATCTGACATGAATTGTATATTAGTTTACTCTCTTTTAGACGGACATCACTCTTAGACGGACACTTAGTGCCAGTTCTAGGTTGTTCGTCTTAGCGAGAGTTGAGTTGAATATGATATTCGTTTTTAATTAGTAACTGGCTTCTTTTTGGAGTGGTAAGTAAGCTTGTTATGGATTAGTCAGGGAGTACGAGTAAAATACCGACTTAGCCTAGTAGCCTTTGTCGGACACTTAAAAGCGATCATGATCCAGAGCAAATGATAGAGTCTTACAAAGTGGTTCTATTGAGTCTGCGGACGAAATCTTGTCCATATAGTAGTGTTACCATTCAAATGTAACCTCTTTGGTAATTCTTAAAACAAATGTGGAACTGTTGTCTAATTTTGAGCATGGCAACCTCGGGAGTGAGAGGGTGAAAGGCTTTTATCGGGGAGTTTATTTCCCTTGAGAGAACGGGAGGGTTTATTCTGTGAATTCTGGTTAGGTGGGGGGGGGGGGGGTTGATCCCGTTCGTTGGCAGGAGTGGTATTTTGTTATTGACCATTGCTTTGTTGCAGTGCGCCAAAAGGTAAAACGCGGAAAAGCAGTTCGCAAGATAGAAAATCATTTGATTTTACGGGTGGGTGGTAAAACAGAGTTTAACTAGTCTTTAACCAAGTGCTTTCTCTGATTTGGAGCTTTGACGATTTTCCTTATAACCGCAGTCTACTTTATACTTTAGGCTTTGTTTGATTAGCCAATCCCTAGAACTAGAGTAGGAACAAAATAATAAAACAAATGAATAAATAAATAGCTTTATTTAAACTGTGATAGATGTATATGAAATAAGTCATATAAGAACTGCGGAAATGAAATCAAATGAAGAACGATCTTCGCAGTTGTGAACCCAATTTATGCAATTGCGTACGAAGACTGAAAAAAATTCAGGACTGACTGATCGACTGATTACAGTGCTGTCCTGATTTTTTTGTTCGGGCTTCTCACGTAATTGCATAATTAAATTGCGTGAGGATCATTCTTCATTTGATTTTATTTGAGCTGGCAGTCCAAATGAGTTTATTCAAATAGTGATAAACTTATCAACAGGCGACCAGTTCATTTTTTGCTTCAAAAATGCTCTGTTCGTTTAAAAAACACTAGTTGGGATTATAAAAGCTCGTAGATAAGTTGCTGTAAGTACTCATTACAAAATCCTAATATATCCTCAAAAACACTACTTAACTCAAAACGTAAGGAAGAACTTTTCATTAAACCGGCATTGATAGTATCCTGCAGTTCCCGTCTTTCTACACAAAATGCTGTGCTGTCTTGGCAAGTTTAAGATTAGGTCGTTTGTGATCTAAAATACTTCAGTCTCTAATTGATGCGAGCAGTACACATTTGTACGAGCGGAAAAGTTAGAAAACGCCGTCTGCTATCTAAATTCGGAAGTCAAATCAGGCTTACAGCGTTTGCCGCGCATTTGGTTAGCCTTTTTTATCCAAGAGTCCTTTTGGCCCCGGCAGATTTCGTCCCAAGCTGTTGGAATTGCGCCTGCAGGTAGTTTAGAAGAGACGGTTATCAACATAACTACAATCCTGGCCAAAAGGTTTTGGGACACCTCCCCTTCTTCACATGGTTTTGTATGGAATTTGCAGCTAACCTGCGATACACACTCATAAACACGGCCTTAACAAGATTTTTCCCCCCCCCCCCCTAAACAAAGTTGAGGTCCTTAGAGTGTACAAAATATGTAAAAGGTGTTTGACTTGAAACACCCAACAGTGTTCATGGGGGGAGGGGGTCAACTTGAATTACATTTCCTCACCTAAAACACGAAGTGTCCCAAACATTTTGACCAGGATTGTAGGTAGAAAGACGTTTAGAGCTAGAGGAAGGTCAAGTAAGGTGATGTTACTCGAAACGATTTTCAACCGCGATCTTAGTATTCGGATAATGATGTTGAAACAACGTAACAATATGTCACAACAACGTTTTAACGGTGTGTTGCATTGAAAACCGTCGTTGCAAATCATTTGGTGTAACAATCTGCCTTTAGAGTTCAAATAATGATGATTCTGAAGAGGGTGTACATAGGGTTTGCTGTCAAGTGTTTTCTGGGACATATAGTTTTTATGCTGTTGAGTACTACAAATCCCTAAATTGTTAGCCAGGTAACGTTTATACATTAAATTACTGTTAACTATTAACACTACATTGTAAGTAGTCAATATAACAAGTAAAATATAAATCGACACTTAAGACGTGCATGTTACCATGATAAAATTGCCATAACTATATGAAAAAGACCAATTCATGGGTGTCTCAACTCGTGTTTCTTATGACTTATTATTCAGTTATTCTGTTACAGGTTTCTTTTTACCGTTATTTGTTGAATAGCCTGAACGGCTAGTGTTAAACAAGCTGTTATGCTGACCCCCATCTAGGCCCTTTCTTAGAAAACACCACAAAACTTGGGCAACCAGTCAGACGGCGGAGCTGGTAACCAGTCAAAATGCACATACATGTGACTGTAAGTCAAGGTGGGAATCTCTCAGTGTTGTTGTTCTAGATGGGAAAACCTCGCCACGTATCTCTCATGGATATTAACCGTGTACCTTAACTTACCATTGGAGTCGGAAATAATAGACAGGTCTGCGGTGCACGCCATTGGATATTCGCGCTCAATATTGACAATTATATAGCGAGACACCGTCCAGTTCGGACGTTTAAATTCAACGTGCTTTATATTGGATCAAGTGAGACTTTTGCGCCCAAAATGTAAGTCTTAAGCATTAACGTCTCGTTGGGAGCAAGCCGTTGGCGCCACTTTTCGGGAATTACAAAGCTAGTTGGCTGGTGCTTTGTCTTCCTTGCGTTTCTCCCGGAGGCTAGCTCAAAGTCAACATGGCAAGTTGGAGTTCCCTCTTTATCTGTAAAAAGCAAAACAAAGTTTTAAAATATAACATCTCATAAGTAGTGTGAATATTCCCCGGTCCGGGTGTGGATAGTCCTGAGCAGGGGTGCTTTTATGACTGACTTTTCGACACTCCTCTCTTGTGGTACTCACATTCAGAGTCAACGCTGTCAGTAGTTTATATTGACCTGATTGGTCAAGTAAGTCAAGATGTAAATGGTCGTCTGTCATTTAAGCATGCAGAGATGTTATTTGCTATGGTTGTGACTAGAATGGATCTTCCAAAAACAGGTTGTCATCTTCACTCAAAATACATGGTAGAAAGAAAACAGTTAGTAGCATGTAGTACTTGAACGCGCATCATTTGATGTCTAATCCACATGCGTATCCTCTAAAACATCAGGAGATAACTGCCGACACAGGTTAATTTTAACGTACTTTACTTGGCATTGATTATTGACCGTTTTTAAAAAATGTGCTTAACCCTAATCACTATACTTCGGTGCTAAACCCTGTATTAAACTCTTTTCCTTTCACAACTGTCGCTTACTCTGATTTCCCCGGACTTTTCTCAAAAATCTGCCCAGTAAATTGGCATAAATGGTTCTCTACGACGAGTATAGCGTTGTGTAATAAACATAAAGTGTCCAACCTGATTTTAAGGTATCCATTCTAGTCACAACCTATTTGCTATGACGACTGATATGTGAGTGGTGCCTTTATATCCGTCCTTTTGTCATTCAATGTAATGTCGGTAAACATCTTTTTATTCACCCAGCTTCATGTTCAATACATTTCTTGGTCTCTGACCACGACACAGGACGCATGTACAGTGATCACGGGTTCGAATCCCGTTGAAGCCCTGATTTTTTTCAGGCTTCCTCTTTCCAATTGCCTAAATTGGAAAATTTACTGCGATGATCACTCTTCACTTTCATCTACAACCGCAGTTCAAAAATGAATTATTTCATATACTTCACATCATTTCACTCCTCACGGGAGATATGAACTCAGTAAATTGACCTCGCTCCCAATGTGTGGCTTCATAGCTCAGTTGGTAGAGCAACACACCGGCAACGCGGAGGTCACGGGTTCGAATCCCGTTGAAGCCCTGATTTTTTTTCAGGCTTCTTTCCAATTGCTTAAATTGGAAAATTTACTGCGATGATCACTCTTCACTCTGCAGCGATGTCGAATCCTTTGAGCTCGAAATCTTCAGAGTCCCCTCGCCCAAATACTAATATCCGAAACTTGTTACCATCTAGAGAAGATCTCTTTAAATGACATAATTCTGTAAAAATTCCTGGCGTAAGATTGAAAACAAATTTTTGGGACGAGCTAAGGTAGGCTGAGTACACTTCAAACAATTTGGGTCCTACTGCTACCACAACATCAGCCATTTCACACAGTTTTACTTCAGTAGAATACTTTGCTTCACCTCTGGAGATTGCACCAGAGTATGTTTTGAACATGGCGAGCTCTTCGGGAGCTGTATGCACAACTTGGACCCACTTACAGTTGTGGCTTTCCCGAATTACCTGCGCTTGTTTTCCAAGTTTCACACCGTGACCAATGACTACGTCAATCTTTATGTCCTTCCGTGGGAATGTCAAGCAGTCAATTGGGTCGAACCCGGGCCGTTGTTGTGCTTCAAATATCATAACTTTGTGGTTACGAGACATTCTCTTGTCTTCTTCACTACAGCTTGGAACAAGGAAGCTAACTGCTACATTTGGTTGCTTAGCCAAGTATATGGCTAATGATCTATTCATTGTAGAGAGGCCTCCTTGAGAGGAGCCCCACTCGCTTGCCAAGAGAAGGACGCTCAGTTTTTCGCAAACTCGAGATCTGGAAGACATTTCTGTAACAGAAAATGACTATTTCAGTGTCTCCGCCGCGACGGTGTGGAATGGTAGCTTTCAGCTGACGTCACGGTTGCCATGCCCACATTGTGCCCCTCCCAACCCCCGTCAAAATATTGTCAACAAACAATCGAAAACAACATGGCCGCCTTGTCTTCACTTCGGTAAAGTGATGCATGTATTTCCGATCTCCTATCCAAAAATCTTTACTTTTAAGCAATGTTACTAAATAAGTCCATTTGTACCATCTGGTACATAAATAGTTGAACCTGGTATACGAAAAATACCGATTCTTACACTACAAACAATATATAGCCTCATCAGATGCGTACATCCCCTCCTTTAAAATCGGCCTTTTCTTCCAGTTCTAGAGTGACGTGTCAAATTCATATCGACTTGGCAGTCTTTGGTGGCTTGTTCATTTGTCAAGATTCTCCAGCCTATACATAACGGTTTTAAACAGGCAGAACTCAAATTATATTCCACACAACCATTTTTATAGCGGAACTACTTTGATTCTAAGAAACACTTTATATTATGTAAATGAAGTCTTTTCTGAGAAAGTGCAGTTTCCTTTTTTTCTCGGAAGGTCAGCTTTTGTTCGTAAACATTGTTTTTTTTAATCATGTGTGTCAACCAAGACACTTTGCTCCCCGCATTAATGGGTGACCTGTCATTCAGCTGTGCAGCCTGCATTACAGGCGTTATTGTCTCGCGCCTTACCCCCAGTTTTCCCGCCGCACGCGCGTGTTTGGTGCTTGTAAGCTATATAGCTTTGTGCTTGGCCTTCGCAGGCCTGAAAAACGCGAAAAATAACGCCTGTTATGCAGGCTAAGGGTAATTCTTCCGAAAAAATGGCGAAAGAACGTCTCTGTATCTTGTTTTAGTTAGCAATTCGTAGAAGGCATGTTTAAGTCAGATATTGACTGTAGACTTTCTGAAAAGTGTGTTTTAGAATGTTATCGACAATTTTTATCTCGTCAAGTAACGATCCTCTTCAGTCCTACGTTGTCTATGTTGAGTGACGAGTCGAAACATGTTTCTCTGGCATTGATACGTGACGCCGCGAACTACGGGACTCTTCCTCAACACCCGGGGGGTACTGCCATATATGGGCTACATAGGTATGTGCCGCTGTGAAGGGTATGGTTTTCAAGCAGGTTACACCGGGATATAGGGTATATAAACAAGGGATTTTGGGTCTAGAATAGTAACTAATTTACATTCGCTTAAAAGCCACCTTATGCCTTTTGATGGATAAGTTATGGGTGAAAAATTTTGCATAAGGCATAGGGTGGGCTGATAGAGAAAATTTGCCATCGCCGCTGAAGGGGAGGAGGGTGGGGAAACTTGCTTGCCCGTTGTAGAGTAGACTTGCGAGAAGACGGCGAATTTGTTTGCTAGGGCGAATAAAAGGCCTAGGGAATTTCCCTGGGGACCGTAAAGGACCAATAGACTGCTTTCCAAGGGAGCACGCAGTAATCTAGTTGATTAAATCGTCACGCAGCGGGTTTTATACGAATGAGAATAGGGTATCATTTCCCAGGAAACTGATCAGTTGGTTAAAGATCTTATTCTAGACTTAATTAGGAAACCGGGAATTGTCACTCAAAAATATAAAAAACTCAAATCGGTTTTGTTTTGGCTGGACTTTGCTAGTGATCTCAGTAGTTTTTGGAAAACAGCTACTCTAGGATGGGCGGATTTTGGGAGTTTAGTCTAGTATGGGGTAGCAAAATTCAGCTCAACTAGCTCTGGCATAGGCTAAGGGTTTCAGGGTGTTAGGGGTACATCCCCAACCAAAAATGCCTAAAAGCCCCCCCCTCACCCTCGGGGCCTCAATATTGCCAAGCGTACGGCATCCTACAAACACACGGACATCTTTTTTCTGATTCTTTCGTTTTCGAGACAAGATCTCTTTAATGAAGCTTTAGGTAACCACGCAGCTAACGTGTCCTTGCACGGCGCCCGTGAATGTAGAATGATCATTACTGACTGACCGCTAACAAGCGAAAAACAACGTAACATCCCGTCAAATTTCCTGAAGAAAAGCTTCAACTCAGTGTGGTTTAAAAAGGTGATTTCCATGTTTTAATAATGTTTTTATTTTAATTGAATACAATAATACAATACAATGAAGGTTCCAATAAGCTTTATGCTTTTTAAGACGGTGATTTAAGCCTTGGCTTTCCTATGAAAGGACTTGGCAAAATGCACTTTAAGGACTCTACACCTCAGACCGGTCATGCCAGTCTTAAATGCACAGTTTTTCGACAAAAAAAAAAAAAACAGCAAAAGGCAAAACAAAAAATCAAGCGACACGTCACACGACATATTACATTAATATCCAAGATTGCGAATAACTACTCCTGAAAATGATTAACCACTACCGTATAACGTACCAGGAAGTTACGATCAAGCTGGGCATTGCATGACTTTTAGTTTACCAGTAGACAATTATTTTTATATCAATACTTAGGAATGAAAGCTTTTGAACTTAAGGCATCGCTATAAATAACATCTAGTTACAAAAGTCTCAGTGGTTACATTTCCCGTAGGAGTGACACTAAATATTGAAAAAAAATAAAACACGGTTTACAAGTTGTATAAATTATGTAGGACACGTGTCGCATGTACACACATGGTGGGGTGATTTTAAAAAGATATGTTCAAATAATTTTCCGACGTAGAGAAGGCCAAAACTCTACCCTTTGCACTCTTTGCTCTTCTCTTTGCTTTGCTTTGAATAATGCATCTTAAGCTCCCTTTCTCGTCAGAAACAATAAATACCTTCCCAGTAGACGCATTTCGTTTTAAGTCCTTAAGTATGTACTCAGGGACTTTCCAGCCCGAGTATCGAAACTTGACGTCATCTTCTTGGAAAGATACTACACCTTTGCGGACACGAGTTTTTAACAACAGTAAGTCATTGTCTGCCATCTCTATTCCTTGATCACCAGTGTAAACAAAAAGTTCATTTTCGACTGATATGACCCTCAGTTCAATCTCATCAGTGTGTTTGTACGTTTCCAGAAGACTTTGTGTCACGACATCCGGGATTTTTAGAAATTCGGGGCTTAAAAATACGACATCGTCTGGGTCAAATGATACCTTACCATTGTGTAGTTTGCTCTTAAGCACCAGTTTCGCCTTCAAAGGGTCATGCTCGGTGTGGGCATCTTCCACATCTAAGGAATGGACAACGGAACTTCCTGTTTCATCTATCGAAAGGGAAAGGGAAGGTCCATGTTAGACTCCGTTTATAATAGATACACAGCTTAATTTTATGTTACATGTCCGCCATGCTCTCGTGATATAGGTAACCAGTAGCCTTAGATGGTCCCAGAGTTTACAGCGTGCATGATAGAGGCCCGGATGAGCCGCTCACGATACTACACCGTTTACACTGCGTGAACGGACGAATTTTTTACCTGTGCAACCCGTTTATACGGAACCCCGCACAAAGTTCTTTTACAGATTGCAGGATTGCAGACGAGTCAACACAACTTTCCCTTTCACAAACTTGCACATGTAAATGAAATGGGGATCCCAGGATCCGTTCAAGTTTTTGCGTTCAAAAATGTGTGCGTACCCGTGTACACTAGATTTCAGTCTCCTACACAGTCGTTCCCCTTTGTGTTGTCACGTCACGCTCCGGCTTCCTCTCACGTGAAAGCAATATTGGGGTAGTTAAGATACGGAAAGGAAGGAAGCAGACACAAGGGGAGGTCAGGATAAATAAGAAAGGATGGACAAAGGATGAATAACGGAAAGCGAAAATGAATATATATGAATGGATATTCAAAGTGAAGTCAAAAGATTCATGACAAGTAGCCATCAGAGGAAATATATTATTTGTCCTCTGGTTAGGGCACATTATACACTGTACTGATCAAAAGATCTGTTTCACCTCCAAAGTGCCAATTTACGGCAGCAGGCTAAAATCTGATTCAGCCCCTTGTGGAGCCATTTGAGCACAATTTAAGCCAAAACAGCCCCAGCAAAACCCCATCAAAGTTACTCAGAGGAAATCCCTTGGTGTGTACATCAGGGAATTAGCCAAAAAGATGGCATCTTGTATTGGGGCTTTGAAGCGTGTTAGAGATTACGTTCCAAACATAGCGTTGCAATCTATCTTAAATTCTCCAGTTCAACCCCACTTCTGTATAATTATTGTAGCGTTGCCCGGGACAGTTGCGGTACAATCCTAGAGTACCAGGCCTCAGAAGCTACAAAATTGGGCAGCTAGAGATCTAACTTTTTTACTATGACACTAATGTGGATTATATATTTGGGGAGGGTTGACATGCAGGAGAAAGCTTGACAGTCAGCAATAACGGTTTACAAATCAATAAACGGCCTTGCTTCAGAATAATTGAGCCGTGATGTGTCACCACTTACTCGCTAAGAGACACTGAGAGCAAACTACTTAAAAACAAAAAAACTACTTAAAGACACAAACTACTTAAAAACAAGACGCTCTAACAACGTTGACTCAACCTAATGCTTGGAGGTAAAAA